AAAAAAAAAAAAAAAGGAATTAAAAGATTTTCAAGACGTTAGTGCCATTAGTGGTACCATGCGCATTCTTATCAAACGTCATATCAATGTATCCTGTATCATGGAACACCAAAAAAAATATATCCTGTTTTGAACCACAACATTACAGGTTTATGTTCTCATCTGATAGTCTCAGTTCAGTCATAGCAATAATATTTTTGTATAATTTGTCTTTTATGCCCCAGCTATGCAAGTCATGACAGTGGCAAAGGAACCAAAACTCCATCAGGAGTTACTGGTCCCATCTGGTCTATTTTTGGCTGCAGTGTATTCAAAGTTATATTTGTCTGTCCACCTCCTTTCAAGCGAGCACTCTGAGGAGGAAGGAATGTTGCGCTCCAAATTTGGGCGGCAGCCTCAATTGGCGCACTGATTTGGCGGTAATTTCATGTGATGGTGCCTGACGAGGCTAGATGGAGGAAAAATAGATAATGTAATCGAGACTGGAGAGAGGAGCCATGGAGGAATGTTCTTGGATGGCTAAACAAACTTGACGGAGTGTGTGGATTAGAGTATGGCATGAGGCACTAGTCAACAGAACGGTAGAGGTCATCAATGTCCTATAACCTGTGAATGTGAGTGTTGACCTTTTAAAAAATCAGACCTCTGCAATAATTTTCTACCATGTAAAGATAAAGTACAGTACATTATGGAGTGAGAGAGATACTATGTGTAATTTTACACACATTTTTTTCACTTTATGTATATATGCTCAAATAAATTAGTAAAAATGTCTGATCTAAGGGTATTATCAAAAGGCTTATTTCATTATGTCTAAGAATGTTAAAAACCCCAAAATTATCATCACTTAGTTTTAAGACAACACTGCTGTTTAGTAAACAACATTTTTTTATACAGCAATATATAGAAAAGCCTTTTTTTCTATTAAATTAAATTAAAATCTTTTTTTTCTTATATAATAATAAATAAAATAGGATTCCATGGTTGGCCAAAATCCTAATTAATATCCATGACTGAAGGTCTTGTCTGAATGTGCTGTATATGTTAATGATAGAAGATTATATTGCTATTAAACAGTATGTTTTTACAACATGATACACACAACACATGAGATAATTTTAGAACCTTTAGATATTAATAGATAATAGTAATACATGTTTCAGTATTATTTGTACAACTAAGTCACTATGAGTGTTCTAACTGAATGCAAAAGTCTCAAGTCTCAAGATGTAATATCTATTAAGTGAAAAAACAAACAAACAAACAAAACGAAACAAAACAAAAAAATAAATAAAAAGAG